TCCACTTAGAACTATGGGACCCAACCATCCCTCTTATAGCCACTTCAAAGATTTACAGGTTCGGGAGAACACGTAGTTAACGTTATGGCTGATTCGGAGAACCTCCAAATCCCACCCCTGGCTGGCCGCGCCCTCAAGGGAAGCCTCTGGAGCCTGGAGCGATCAAAATGACCTCCTCGCCATGGTGCAGGAGGCTGGCCATGCCCACCCAGCAAACTGGCACTGAAATTTTTGAAGCCCACACCTGTAAATCTTTGAAGTGGCTATAAGAGGGATGGCTGGGTCCCATAGTTCTAAGTGGAAGGCCTACCTCTCCACTGGCGTTGTTGCTGCTGTTTGTGGTGCTAAAAGCAGCCTCTGTATATATACTCTCAAAATCCCCATCCCCCCCCGTACAGATAAGTCTTCAATTTACAACAGTTCATTTAGTGACCATTCAAAGTTACTGAAAATAATGACTTATGGCGATTTTTCACACATACGACTGCCACTGCATCCCCACGGTCCAGTGATTAAAATTAGGATTCTTGGCAACTGGTTTATATTTATGACGGTTGCAATGTTCCCTGATCACTTTTTGCGACCGTCTGACAAGGAAAGACAACGGGGAAGCCAGATTCACTTAACAACCGTGGGACTAACTTAACAACTGCAGTGATTCACTTAAGCGCTCTGGCGAGGAAGGTCATAATTGTCTGGATTACAAGTAGACCTCGACTTGCAACCATTCACTTAGCGACCATTCAAAGTTACAATGGCACTAAAAGAAGTGACTTATGACTATTTTATACACTTTCATCCGATGCAGCGTCCCCATAATCACATGATCAAAATCCGGATGCTTGGCAACTGGTTGATATTTATGACCGTTGCAGTGTCCCGGGGTCACTGGATTCCACTTTAGCGACCTTCTGACCAGAAAAGTCCACGAGGAAGCCAGACTCGCTTAACAACTGGGTTTGTAACTTAACAACTGCAGGGATCCAAACTGTGAAAAGAAAGGTTGCAAATGGGGCAAAACTCCTTTTACAACTGTTTTGCTTAGCCACATAAATGTTGGGCTCCATCATGGCCGTAAATCAAGGACTGCCTATACCTCAAAGAGATGACTGCTATCCCTTTCGCTTCTCCCCTCAAGGAGCATTCACCAGTGAGTCCTTCGATGAATGGCGAGTTGCAACTTCCGGCGAAAGCTCTTCCCGCAGTCCAAGCACGCATACGGTTTCTCTCCGGTGTGAATCTTCTGGTGGGAAAGGAGGTATTTGCTGCTGGTGAAGGATTTCCCACATTCAAGGCATTTATAGGGTTTCTCTCCCGTGTGGATCCTTTCGTGAGTGATGAGGTACACCTTCTGGCTGAAGGTCTTCCCGCACTCCAAGCAAGTGTACGGCTTCTCCCCGGTGTGGATTCTTTGATGGGAAATGAGATTTTTGCTACTGCTGAAGCTCTTCCCGCACTCGAGACATCCGTACGGCTTCTCCCCGGTGTGAAGTTGCTGATGGTGGGTGAGGCTTGCCCCATGGCTGAACCTCTTCCCGCACTCCGGGCATTCGTAGGGTTTCTCTCCGGTGTGACTGATCTGGTGGGAGTTGAGGTTCGACTGCTGAGCGAACGCCTTCCTGCAGGTCGGGCATTGGTACGGCTTCTCCCCCGTGTGGATCCGGAGATGGGAAGTGAGGCTGGCGCTCTGACTGAAGCCTTTCCCGCACTCCTTGCATTTGTATGGTTTTTCTCCCGTGTGGATCCTTTTATGGGAGCTGAGGTATTTGATGTCGCTGAAGCACTTGCCGCACTTGAAGCATTTGTAGGGTTTCTCGCCGGTGTGAGTTCGGTGATGGGAAATCAGGATATCTCTCCGCTTGAAGCTCTTGCCACACACTTGGCACTGGAACGGTTTTTCCCCTGAGTGGGATCCCATGTGGAGATAAAAGGAGGATTTGCAACTGGAGATCTTCCCACACACCACACACTCGTTTTTGCCTGCTGTTTTCTCTATTTGCCCTTCACGGGCCTCACTGTCCAATTCAGAGTTTGTTATTTTCTTTTCTCTCTCTACTTCACTTTCGATTCCTTCAAAAAACAGATTGCTTGGCTCTCCTTTAGATTCACTCTGCTGTGTCTCAGCCTCTGGGGGAAAAATAGAATTCAAATTAAGAGGTAAAAATCAAAGAATGTGCACAAGCAAAGATGACAAGGAGCCAGAGATAAGAGAGAATTTGACAGTTTAAAAAAAATAAAAAGCAAACAGGGATGTCTGGAATTGTGTAGCTAAGGCTTAACTCACAATAATGAAAGAAAAATACGGTAAATACACGAAGTCTTTCTGGATGGGCCGGCTGGAACTCAGAGACAAAGGGCTGACTCTTCAAAAAAACTAACAGGATGGCTTTGACCCACTGATTTTGAGAAATAGTGTTGGGGGGAGGGCTGCTTACCGAGAGAAACCACGATTTCCTTAATCTCCTCCATCACTTCTTCATGCAAAGCTTTCTGCTCGGGATCCAGCAGCCCCCACTCCTCCCCCGTAAAGCCCAGAGCCACCTTCTCCAAAGTCAACAGGCCCTGAAAGGAAAGAAATGTTTCCCTTGTAACCATCTCCATGCCAGGCTTTTCCTACTGGGCAAAGTCTTGGTCAAGCTGCAGGGAGCATTGTTCCACTAAGTTCCCTTCAGCAAATTCGGTGCCCGGAACAGAGGCTGTGACTACAGCACCAATCGTTCAGAGCCGGTTTAGTTGCCAAATCTGAGGGGGTTCAGCACCTAACACATCTGAGAAGGGATCCTGGGGACGCTGGAATGATTGTAAGAGTGAAAATAGCAATAGCACGTTACAGTGCTATTACAGCCCTCTCATAAGGAGTTTACAGAGCCAGCCTGTTGCCCCCAACAATCTGGGTTCTCATTTTAGCCACCTCGGAAGGATGGAAGGCTGAGTCAACCTTGAGCCTGGTGAGATTTGATCTGCCAAATTGCAGGCAGCCGGCAGTCAGCACAAGTAGCCTGCAGTAATGCACTCTAACCATTGCGCCACCGTGTTTCGAAATGCTCGTCATTTTTTTCAGTGGCGTTGTAACTTGGAATGGTCACTAAGTGAACTGTTGAGGACTACCTGTATTTCAATCCAACGGGAAAAGAGGTCAACAAAATCTTCCTCTTCATTTAAACTCTTTTGAATGCGGAAGTATGGGTAGACAAAATCCTAAAAGTATTTCTTGGAAGTCAACAACAACAAATATAACAGTTATTTTTGAAGAAAGTCAATAGAAAATTGCTCCGTATTCCTTACCCAGTGATGTATCTTCTTGGTGGTCTCCTTCTAAGATCCACTGTGGAGCTACTTCACCGACATGGATCTGCACCCAAGAACAGAGATTAGAAAGAGGACAAGATTTGGGGAAAGGATCTCCACAATCTCCTCCAAAGACGAAGTTTTTCCCCCAGAAAAAAACTGATGGGATTAAGGAAGGGGTGACTGTTCTGACCGAGGCTTCCCAAGAGCATGAAGCAAACTCCTTGTCCCAACAAAAAAAACCCCTTATATTAATTTACTGTGACTTCTGCTCATTCACATCCAGCAAAGTCTCTCAAGGGAGGATTTATAGTCACAGACCTTACCTGGCTTGGACAGCTGACAGTCGATATCTGCAAAACCTGACAAGGAGTCTCGGAGAGTCACCAACCAATTAAGTGAACTAATTGTCTCCTGCAAACTCCACTCCCCCTTCGCTCCTCTTTTATTTCCTCTGGGAGGGGCCATTCATCGTCTACCTGGAGCCTTACTCCCAAGTCAACCCGTTCTTCAGCTGTTCTCTTCATGTGGCAACTCTGCGCATGTGCACACTGGGAACAGGCTCCAGCTGTTCGTCTGCCTCACTGATGTCTGACTCTGGAGGCAGCTTATGGCCCTGGCCCTCTCTCTGCCTCCAACACAGAGACCTCATCAGAGCCTTCCCCAGGCTCCAGGACTGGCCCATGTTCCTCCCAAACCTCCTCACTGTCCGAATCTCCTGCCAGCTCTGCTGGCGGGCCACAACAGTGACTTCCAGGAAGATCTAACCTCCTCTCAAATTAGCTAGGAGGCATCTCCCTCACCTTCTGATCTTCCTGCTTCCTGTCCTCCTCTTGGCTCAGGAGAAAGCCTTCGGCTAGGGCCACTGCCTGCGAGCTGGTGTCTGCGCCACACTGCTTCACCCAACTCTCGATCTCTGGGGGCAAGATCGTCAGGAATTGCTGCAGCACCACCAGATCCAAGATCTCCGCTTTGGTGTGATGTTTTGGCTTCAACCACTGTCGACAAAGCTCGTGGAGCCGACTACAAACCTGTCAGGACCCGCAACTTTCTGATAGCAAAACTGCCGGAAGGGCTGATGTTTTGCACTTAGACTCAGCGTAGGTCCTCCCAAGACATTTTCAACAGCCTTGCTACCCATCTGATTGCAAGAAACGGCTCGTTTTGCTTGGAGGCCATCAACGTTGGTTTGTCGTAGGTTTGATTGCAGCTCCTGGGCAACATTCAACATGGGCAGAGAATCACTTTCTGCTTTTTTAAAGTGATATTGGAGCACATGGACCCATCCCTGTAAAACCAAGAGGAGACACAATTTACCGTATTTGTTGGAGTATGTCACACTTTCCTTCCCCTAAAAGAAGCTGAAAATTTGGGTACTTCTTATACTATGAATGTAGCTTTTTTGAAGCTTTTTTTCAGCCCTAATGAGGCGCTAACGAGTTAAGTGATCTTCCTGTGCTTTGCCTGCTTTTTTTAAATCGCTGCTCCCTCTTGATGACCAGCACTGTCCAAAGACGTTCTCTGTGGTCATGTGGCCGGCATGACTAAATGCCAAAGGCAAACAGAACACTGTTACCTTCCCACCAAGGTGGTCCCTATTTTTCTACTTGATTTTTACATGCTCTTGAACTGCTAGGTTGGCAGGACAAGTAATGGGAGCTCACTTTGTGGTAGAGATTCGAACTGCCAAATGGGAGCTCACTTTGTGGTAGAGATTCGAACTGCCAAACTGCTGATCTTTCTGATTGACAAGCTTAGCCACTGATTGAGAAGTCTTAGCCACTGACCCACCTCTTTAACACTATAGAGGTGCCAATAGTATTCTTCCTATCTTGCTTCTTCAGAGTCCAACATTCACTTCCACAGAGTGTCACAGACCATGGCGTGCTTAGTCCTGATCCTTGTAGGAATAGCCTCATCGTAGCATTTACAATACAATACAATACAATACAATACAATACAATACAATACAATACAATACAATAGCAGAGTTGGAAGGGACCTTGGAGGTCTTCTAGTCCAACCCCCTCCTTAGGCAGGAAATCCTACACCAACATCTTCTTCAAAACTTCCAGTGTTGGAGCATTTACAATTTTTGGAGGCANCTGGTTACCTCTTAACCTATGAGCTCACCTAATTAACAACAACAGGCACTTACCAGGAACTATTGAGTTATGTGAAGCCTCTGCCCTGGCTGGGATGGTCTTAGAGATTGACAAGGAGAAGGAGCCAATTATAATACTGTTGCTATATGCTTATTGCTTTGCTTGTAAAAACTGTACAAAAAGAATAAGCCCTCCTGCTAAGTCCTCAGCCTGCGACCGGTCCTAAAGTTCTCGACTTATGACCGTCCGCAGGTCCTCGACTTACGACTGACAGCCGGCAACAGCCAAGCCGCGCCTGATTGGGAGGGAGGCATTTTGGAATGAACTCTGTGATGTCTTGACTCTGAACACATCATTTGCAGACAGCTGGACATTTGCATTCTTCTTCAGTCAGAGCTGAAGAAGCTTCTTGGATGAGAAACAAAACGTCTTCAAAGAAAAACCAGAAAGTCCAGTTGCCACTTGAAAAAAAAAAAGCACCTTTGGGTTTCAGGCAAGTGACTGTAAAAACCTCCAGTGGTGGAGCATCCAAAACTTCTGAAGACAAGAAGCAATGGGTGGAAACTAATCAAGGGGAGAAGGAACTTAGAACTGAGGAGAAATTTCCTGACAGCCAGAACAATTAATCAGTGAAACGACTCACCTTCAGAAGTTGCGGGTGCTTCAATATTGGAAATTTTAAAGAAGAGGTTCGACAGCCATTTGTCTGAAATAGTATAGGGTCTCCTGCCTGAACAGGGGGGTTGGCCTGGATGACCTCCAAGGTCCCTTCTAATTCTATTATTATTCTGTTATTCTCATTAGGTTGCCAAAGTATTTGAGTTTCAGAATTTGTCCTTCCAAAGAACAGTCAGGGTTGATTGCATCTGGGTTCACTGATTGCATTTCCTTGCAGTCCCAGGGAGTCCCAAGAAGAGTCTTCTCCAGCACCCTGATTGGAAAGCAATATCAGAGGGCAACTTGCCAGCTTCTGCTCTTCCAGCCATCTGTGGCCAGACTGGTTGGTTCTGCAGCTTGGAGCCCAGAGGTGTGTGTGTGTGTGTGTGTGTGTGTGTGTGTGTGTGTGTGTGTGTGTGTGTGTGTGTGTG